GAAATGACAATAAACCGTAATCTTTTGGACCCAGATCAAAGGTTTCTTGATTAACTAGGAATCAGACGTTTACTTGTCGTCACAAGTGAACGTGTAGTCAATGTGTGTAGTTTAACAGCATCTGATTTGGTTAGTAAATTGCTATTTTTAAGTAATTCAAGTCATTTTGTGCATTATAATTCATGTTTATACGTTTTCTTACATGCAACACTGCAGTAGTTTTATGCTACTAAATAAATCATTGCACTTTAGTTGTTGAACCTTTGTATAAAGAAATTAGGTCTTTTATTGCATTTCTTTTATACAATATCAAAGAATATGAAGAGAATCTAGTCCGTTTGTTCAAGTTTATGAATAAAAGATGCAAAGGTACGTCACAAAATCCACGCAGGTGAAGCAGATGCTTGCCTGAGAGTGGAGCAGGTTTTAGCTCCTTAAATACATACATTTCTAGCTTTTGATCCATTTTAAACGTCAGCAATGACCAGCAGGTTGCTGCAGAGTGCTTATAATTACGTCTGCAAAAATACGTCCGTGAAAAGGGCCTGTCAAAAATAATTCTAACAGAACAAGCCAAGATTTCATTCAATCCCTTCCTGCTCAGGTGAAGGTGACTGAGCTGTTCCTCATAAATGTGTTCTTGTTAAACGTCAACTTGTCACAATGAACAGAGTACAGCCGACGTGACCGCAATGAACCATCAATACAATCAATTACATGGCATTTTTAGAAAAAACCCCACTGATGCACCACGCAAGATGTCACACAAAGTTGATGGTAATCCAGTGTTTCTGCACATCAGTACAACTTCTAATGACTGTGAAGGTGAAATGGTGAGCGGTTATATGGTGCAATCAGTTGCTTCTCATTGCTCAACAAGAGTCCTGAAAGACCTGATTTTCCCACAGTTAAGGTATAATTCAAAACTGCCATTTTCTGTCACACTACTGTTTATATTATATACACATATTGTATATGTCTTTTTTTTGTGTGTTATCTGTTGCCGTTGTAGATTCTTACTTTTTCTTTCTGCTTCTGTACATAGTGTTTTTTATTTTATTTACTTTTTTCCTGACTCGTGCTCTTACTGTTTGTATACTGTTTTTTTTTTCTCTATCCACTTTGCTGCTGCAACATCGGAATTTCCCCATTGTGGGACAAATAAATGAATATCTTATTAAAAAAAAATGTTTTGATTTTGCAGGACCAAAATGTACAATAAAACATTTAAGTACCAAATATTAACTAGATCTGTCCTGACCGAAGTATTGCCAACACTGTAGGTTCATCTTCAAACTGTGACTCTACAGGAAAGAAGACCAGGAGGGATGGGTTTTATTTAGCCATTACTGAGTCCTTCATGTCCATAGGATGGAAAACATTCAGAAACGGAGCATCTTTCATCGAGCCACTTTGAAGATGAGAAGCTCTCTGTGTTCTTTGTTATGTGTGATTCTACATCGCAGCTCGGTGGCCCGAGGTCCTGCCGCCCTGCCGTTTGCTGCCACAGCCTGACCTTGCTGTCCTTACGATTTCTACACACACACACGAGCATTGAGCATTAAACTCATTTCACCAAGACCGGTGGTAGGGAATGCAATTTGTGATAGCCAAACCTATATGCACACACGATGCGATTATAGACTAACACAGGGATGTAAGTGGGAGTAAATTAAGTCTGAGAGCTAATGCTGGCTAGGGCTAGGTTGCCAGACGCAGCACTTTCACATTTATCCCATGGAGTCGGCCCAAAACTGTTAACGTTCACATTATTTTTCGCTCAAAAGACTGTCATAATAGATTTCAAACCAGTGTGTGGAGATGAAATAACAGTTACATTCACACGGGCTACCTCAAACCCTCAGGAGGTTTCAATCTAACCAACCCCGCTTTCATGGTTGCATTGCAAACTGCATTCAGTTCGACTAAGCCACTGCTGCGATGGCACAAAAACCAGATAGTAAGATGTGTCTACATTTCAGAAGATTTCCATTGATCATTTTAGATGTGATTTCTTATTTAGTGCCACTATGATCTTAATATTAGGGTTATTAAAACAATAACTCAAAGATGGACTTTGGCCTTTCTCTGCTGGATTACACCAGCAAAGGATTGTGTACCAACGTCACCCTTCATAGTGTCCATCACAACCACAAATGTCTGCACTGAAACAACTTTGGAGTCTCGCAGTATGGTTTTGTTTTATACTAAATTGTCTTTTAAATACTATAGAAATATGCACAAACTCTTGAGGCAGCTGAATCTTCTGCCCTCCTTAAAACGTACTGAAGACCACAGGATCTGCAGACATGGCAAATTAATTATAGTCACATCTTTGTAGTTAGTACCTACTGCTTCTGTTAAACGAGATTTAAATGAATATTAGTAATGAGTGAGTCAATCCCCATGTAATCTAAAACCTTTGCTTGAAATAACCTTGGTATTACAATCCGCACAGACAAAGAAAGATAAGCAGACCTCCATCATATGTAAATAGGACCTTAAATAAATTGCACTAAATGGTAAAAATACAGACTATATTTAGCTTTCCATGTCAGTTTACATGAGGCTCAATGTCACCTTAGATGAATGACCTACAGTGGCTTACTCTCTAAAATAAAGCGTTGTACGAAGGCACACTTTACTGAGGAAAATGTTAGAAATGGTTGCTTTTAACAATATCTATTATTTGCTTGTTACAGACTGAAGTGCAGAGCCTGACAATGAAAGCAGTGGACACAGCAAGCAGCTGTAAGGGGGACTCAACCGTGATGAGTTCAGGACAGACTTGACAGGCGATAACTGCCTGGAAGAAAGTGTACTAGTACACTACATTACTTCCCAGTGACTATTGCTATGTGACTACTAAAAAACCCCCCCACGCCATGGAGAGCAAACAGCATTTTAACAGCAAGCTTCAGTCCTAGATTAGTGGAAATGACATACTCTTCAGCATGGTCAATTACCTTCGTATATGCACCTACAAATGTTGCCTCGAACGGTTGTTGGGTCTACAAATGTAAGTAGGGAAAACACTATCCAGCTGAACCACACTGCCAAAGGAGGTCAAGTGATCTTGCTTCTCAGATATAACCATTTTCCAAAACAATTGTCAAAACAAGTGCAACAGCTACTGACTCATATCCTTCAGTAAGGGCGAGCAGTGCTGTGAATAGTCAGCCATTATGAAAAAGGGTGGTATAGCAGAGGAATAAGAAAGGATATTTTTGTCATTCTTGAGTGACAGCAACAGTCTCAGTTCAAAGGGCTCAGACACAGCAACAGATTGTGTTACTGGTGGTTTAAGTGAATCATTAAACAAACTGAACCTCTATATGCTGAGCTAGACAGCTATAACGAAAAACCACTCATCTTCCAAACCTGGAAAATATTTGCCTAATGATTTAAAAAAAAAACAACATACAATTCAGACAGATTACGATTCAAATCTGAAATTGACGCCCAAGCTAAAACACTCTGTGCAATCCACTGTATCACAAGTCATTACACAAACGCAGGAAGACACTGCTGGCGCTGCAGCAAACCCGGCGCTATTTAATTGGATAAGGAGTGATCCCTTCAACTAGACACCAAAAGGTGCTCAGTGGCTGCACTCAACATCAACCTGGAAACTTGCAAGCGATGTGTGAGCGAGTGAACTACAATACATTGTTCGTCAAGGTCAAGAGTGTAACGTTAATATGAGGAGTAGAGGGTGGAAAGCTGAAGAAATACGAGATTTTGCGTTACCATTAACGTTAAAAAGGAAACCGGCATGGCTATTTAAAGCGACGTGCTACGTTCAGGGTTCATCCTCGGTTTTAAAACCCGCCGTGCTCGTCGCAAAGTGAACGGTTTCCCTTTTTTTAATAGCGTTATATCTTGGACTGATGGAAGTGGCAGGTTGCTCGTATGACATTTAGGCTTGGTAGACAGCTTGATTTGATAAGATAGGCGCGGTGCAGAATAGCGTTTCCCGTGAGAGACCCCCCCCCCACTACTACACGGTTAGGGTTAGGGCTCGGGTTGAGGGTCAGCATCGACAGGTTGACGTTACCGACTAAAGGCCGGGTTCAGGATAAAGTAAGCGCACATACACACTGACTCTATAGACCACCGGTACTTAAGACCCCCCACCTCCACTCCCGAATGGATGTTTAACTTTGACAGCATGGGTAGTCGTTGGTTGCTACACGACGTTACTGATTTTTCGCACGGAATTACACAGTTACCGTGTTAGTGACCGTCAGCAGACACACACACATATATA